TTTGTAATTTGTGGAAGTAAATGAATGCGACTTTTCTACACCAAAATAAGTCTAAAATATTTGTCCGCACATTTATTCTTTCAATTTAACAACCTGTAATTGTGGGAATTAATCAAACGTGAGTTGTTTACACAAAACTAAGTATTAAATATTTGTTGAGACATTTATTCTCTCAATTTAACAACTTGTAATGGTGTAAAATAATTAAACGAGAGTTGTCTACACCAAAATTAATCTCAAATATTTGTCCACATATTTATTGTCACAATTTAACCACTTGTTAATAGTGAAAATTACTTAAACGCGACTTGTTTAATCAGTTGACATCAATGCAACTTACCCGCAGACAGGGCACAACAGAGTATCATTATTGAGCAATTATAAACAGGAACGTGTCTTGGCATTAGGGTTAGGGTCGGGTCAGGTATGGGCAACGCAAATGGCAAACACCCAATTGGCAAGATGTACACTAACGGGTTATGGCATGCATATAGTTCACACAAGTAAAAACATAAAATTGGCAATTTTTTGGACAATTGTAACTCAATAATAGAGATATGTTGTATTTCTATATATACACACTATATAGTCTTATCAAATGCAAACACATCCAGTCAATCAATTGTAGTCTTGTGGTTCAGTTGTCTACACAGTGATCAGGAGAACCTGGGTTCAGTTCCCATGCCTGCCAGTCTTTTTTCGCAAACACTAATTTGCAATAAAGGTAAATATGAAAACAAATCATTCATTTGCATGACTACCCATATGGTTCAGTGGATATGTACAATGTAGGCAATGTGAAAGATCGCTGGTTCGAATCCAGTACGATTAGTACGATTTTTGAATGCTAGTGAAAACATTGATTCTATAAGTAGGACTTTAATCCTAGCATTTGTGTGAAGACACTCGTGGTACAGTGGACAAGACAGTGCGCTGGGAACTCAAAGATTGCAAGTTCGAATCACGGACAGGACACTCCCACCAGACAAGATATGAAAGAAATATATCAAGAACTCAAGTCAGAAAAACAGAACACAAGAAACTACCTCACATGGAAGCCAGTCGAAGTACGAACACAGTTGACAGCTGCAGGTCACGTGCAACAAGACACAAGATCAATGCTGCTCTCCAAATGGGACCCTACTTTTGTATTGACCCCCTAAGGATTGCTAATCCCCCTTTCTAACTCTTCCCCCAAAAATAATATATCGCCCTTTTTAGAATGTATTGATCCACAAATTAATGAATATTCATGAGCACAGTCATGAATAAATTAGCATAATTTTAAATAAATTGCATAAAGTGTAGGTACTCCTTCTGGAGTCCTGCCATAAATACTTTTGCAATATTTAACAGCACTGAAGAAACAACACTGCATTAAACATTAATTAACCGGTTCTTTCACAAACTCGCACATTTGCATAACTATTCTACATCTGTCTTTTGATACCACCAGTTGCATGCATTATCCATTCCTTTAGCAATATTATTATGGACACAAATATGGTACAGAGTCTGAAGCAATTATATGGATTTATGTAAACCCGTGCCTGTCTTCAACTCGCCCTTCTGTTACATAACCATAACACTACTAGTAACAGAAACACTGGGATATAACCGAAGTAGGCTGTGTGCGCTTAGATATACTAGCTGTAAGTAAAAATAATGCCAGTGCTATTAGGGTTTCCATGCTAGCCACTTACAAAATTTCAAACGTGAAGTTCAGTTGTCGCTTTGAGACGCAGAAGAAAGGGACGAATTTCTGACATTAGCATTGTAATCAATAAACTAACCTACCTCTGTCGAAGCGTAGCGCTTTGGGAACCTCCTATCGTATGCAAGGGCGGTGGCATTGTGCGACTTAATTGTGGTCTACCTGGTCCTCGACGCCCTCCAGGCATTTCGGTAATTCATAGAAAAGCTTAATCTCATTAACAGTTTGAATAGTAGAGAAAATTGAGAAGAATACTCAAATCAGATGTCAAAATGGCTACCGGAAATATGAAGAATGCTGGGATATGTTGTTGGATTGTCCTTGGACATCGTCGCACTGTGCGGCAGATAGCATAGAAAAAAAATATATAGT